GTAAAATTGGCACAGTCATTAAAAAAAATAAATAAAAATATCATTTTACAGATTTGCTCCGTTTTCTTAAATTATAAATAATAGTAATGTGAATTAAAGGACAACTTGGAAGCAGCTTGTAAGTCTGCACATATAAAACAACATCTAGAACCTGTGAACACCAGCACTTGCTTCCAACCATCAGCATTTTGTCAAAATGTTCAAAAACTGGAACCTTGTCTTGTCACACATCAGATTCTACTGACGTTAGAGCCTCAGAAGTTGGTGAAATGTCGACCAAAGACTGTATTTTAGTAGGAAATATGGATCCATCCATATATAAACACTTACAGGAACTTTCTGGAGTCACAATACCATCCTTGATTGGACATTTTGCATTTTTTTTTTCCCTTTTTAAGGTCTAATAATTAGAAATGTGTCCTCTGTTGAATCCATTTAATCATTTAGATCTACAGGAAACTATTCTGTTTGAGGTCTCACCAAATTTCATGTCTGTGGGAGTTTTATTTCTGAAGATACCGAACCCTGAAGATGGCTTCACCGGTTTTTCTGAGGGTGAAAATCAGAGAATCTCAGGTCTGAAAACATGATGAAATTCTCAAAATTCAGCCAAAATATTTTAAAGAACTTAGTTTTGGTTCCCAAATACCTCAATTGGGAGCAGAATCTGCAGGAACGTGTTTCCTGAAGTCTGTCTGGGTGACGGTGGGAGATCTTTGAATGTTTGGTTAGTTTGGTTGACGTTCGACTCAATAAAGTGTAAAAAAATGTGAGACGGGACAGAGTTTTAGTTGAAGTTTATTACAGAACGATGACAGATCATAAATCTTCTTCTTCACTTCTTAATGAATCTTTTCATGGACACAAAATGAACCTCGATGATCCACGTTTGTAAAACTCCACGGAAGGTTTTCAGTCAAGTCACGAAACGTTCATCACGTGTGAACCGCAGCACGAACACTTTAACCATGATGAGAATTAGTTCTGTCATCGACCGAAGTCACAGCTAGTTTCATCGATACACGAATAAACACTTAAACACAACTCTGTGTGGCAAATATCCCGACTGCAGGAGGAAACACTGAAGGCAACACGACGCTCTGATTGGCTGACCAGCATCGTGTCGTTAATAGTAAATCAATAATAACAATACTACTATTGAGACGGTCGGTATAAAAGTCCAGCAGCTGCACGACAGTGTAACACATGAAGCCGACAGACACACAAACACTTGCGATGCGTTCAGGTGCATCACGGTTTTCACTGCAGGGACACGTAGAAATACCCCTGAACACAACACGGTAAAAACAGCTCAGTAATAAATAGGAAATATTACAAAAGAGATAAAACATTCAGAGCAGAAAACGTGTCCGGAATAAAAAAAAACTTCCTTTATGCTGATTGAATCCCTTTAATGGCTTACAGAGACTAAAAACTGAAAGTCAGAAAGTTGTAATTTTAGAAGAAACCGTAGAAAATTATTGTAAAGGCGACTTATTCATAAAATCATGAGAATTTAAGAAAAGTATATTTAGAGGTAAACGTTTGTTGTATTTTTACACCGTCCTGTCAAAGACCAGAAAATAAGTCTTTAATGAGAGAAAAGTTACGATAATGTGAGAAAAAATATTCGTTTTATAGGAAAAGGTTTGTAAAATTGATTGGAAATATAGTACAACAATCAAATTAAGGGACAACTGATGTAAATTAGCTGCAAGTTAACTCTGTCTTACTTGTAATTGTGCTCTGTCTGGAAAAATTACAACTGTACTCGATCTGTAATGTGACATTCAGAGTAACAGTACTAATGTGTCCCTAATTTTGGTTTATTTTTGTAAAAATGCTTAAATGCTTCCTTAAATCTCAGCTAATTCCAAACGTTGGACAGAAAACTGTGTTGAACAGTTTTATGAGTTCTGATTTTTCATGTTTCGCTTGTGAAACTCTTCAGAACTCTCAGTGGAAAATAGACGTTTGTTCTCAGTGTAAACTGTTGGATGTAAACATTCCTCATGATGTAGATTAAAAGGCAGGTAGAGATGAACTATATCAGGACATGTCTTTGTTATTGTGTCGAGTCTGACTGAAAAAGACTTCAGTGTAACTTGTGTTTGAATTCAAAGCAACACGAGGATTTCTAAATGCAAACTGGGACAGATTTTGTCAAAAACAAGATTTCTGTCCATCCATTTTCTTTCGCCTATCCGGGGTCGGGTCACTGAGGCAGCAGGTAAAGCAGGTCATTCCAGAGGTCCCTTTCCTTAGCTACACTTTCCACTTCCTCCTGGGGGATCCCGAGGCATTCCCAGGCCAGATGACATATACAATCCCTCCAGTGGGTTGTTGGTCTACCTTGGGGACTTCTCCCAGCTACTACCCAGAGGTCATGACTCTAGCTGAGGGTTGGAACTTAGACCGACTAGTCTAAGTAAATTGAGAGGTTTGTCTTCCAGCTCAGCTCCCTTTTTTTTTTTACCACAACAGGTCGGTACAACGCCCACATCACTGCTGATGTGTCACCAAGCCACCGGTCCATCTTATGCTCCATTTTCCCGTCACTCGTGAACAAGACCCCGAGATGCCTAAACTCCTTCACTTGGGGCAGCAACTCCACCCCCACCCAGAGGTTTCCGGCAGAGAACCATGTCTTCAGACTTGGAAGTGCTGATTCTCATCCCAGCCACAAACCGCCTCAGAGTGTGCTTAAGGTCATGATCTAATGAAGGCAACAGAACCACATTGTCGGCAAAAAGCAGGGACCCGATCCTGAGCTCCCCAAACCGACCACTCTCCTCACTCTGGCTGAAATCCTGTTCATTCATGTCACAGGTTCTATGACAAGGGGTAACCCTGGCCGAGTAAACACCCACTGGAAACATGACTGACTTTGTGCCGAGAATGCAAACACAGATCTTACGGTAGTTGAACAAGAACCAGATGGGTCATGACAACAATCATGAAGTCCCGTACTCTCAAAGCCACAAGCCTTTTTCCAAATCTACAAAACATATGTGGACTGGCAAGTCGAACTCCCATGACGCCTTCAGCAGTTCTGTGAGGGTAAAGAGCTGGTCCACTGTTTCAAGGCCAGGATGGAATCTCTCCTACTCCTAGGTCCAGCACCCTGGAATAAACTTTCCCAGGCTGAGCAGTGTGTTACCCCAAAAGTTGGAGCACAACCTCTGGTCATCAATCTTACAAATGGGAACCACCATCCTAGCCTTCCCCTCCACAGGCACTGTGCCCAATGGCCACGTGACACCGAAGAGACGTGTCAGCCAAGACAGTCCAACAATCTCCAGAATGTTCAGCATCTTGGGGTGAATCCCGTCCATACCTGGCGCCTTACCACAAAGGAGTTTCTTGCCTACCTCAGCGACCTCTGCCACGGACATGGATGAGAGTTGCTGCCACAACAGACACCAGTGACCTTCTGGCCACAGCTCCTAACAGCTGCTTCTACAATGGAGGCTTTGGACATGGTTAACTCTGATTCCATGTCCCCAGCCGTCCACAGGATGCAGGAGAAACTCTTCTGGAGAAAACCCCTCCACCAGGCGTTCCCAGTTCACTATCACTGCTCGTTTGGGTTTTCCGGGTCTTTCTGACAGCCTTCCTTGCCATCCCATCCAACTTACCACTAGGTGGTGATCAGTTGACAGCCCTGCTCCTCTCTTCACCAAAGGTGTCCGAGACATACGGCCGCAGGTCTGATGATACAACAAAAAAGTTGGACATCACCCTTTGGTCTCAGGTGCTGTGGTATCAGGTACTCCTATGAGAAGCCGTATGCTCGAACATGGTGTTTGTTATGTCCAATCTATGACTAGCACAGAAATCCAATATCAGAACACCACTTACTCAATCAGGCAACCGTTCTCATCAATCTCCCCCTCCAGGCTTCTCCATCATTGCCCAAGTGATTGTTAAGTTCCCCAGGACAACTATGGAGTTCTTGGGTGGAATCCTTTCTGGACACCACCCAGACACTCCAACAAGGCCAAGTAATCGGAACTCCTGTTCGGTGCATAAGCACAAACAACAGTCAGTGTTTTCCCCTCCAAGACTCGCTGTCTTTAGAGAGGCGACCTTCTGGTTGTCTGGTTAGAACTCCGACAATGTGCCGCTCAGTCAAAGGCTCGTGACCCGCTAGACACCTCTCACCTGGGACAGTTTAAATCAAAATCTAAAGATGAAGATAAATCTGCTGCGCTGACCTCCTGTCGTACTTTTAGCTTCCTCCCTACAGACTAAAGGCGGAGAAATGAAAATGCGCAGATAGAAACCTGGGTGCAGTGAATCAATCCGACAGACTCGAGCAACAGAACTCAGAACACAAAGCACTTGTTGGCTGTTCAGGTTGATGAATCGAGGAGTTTGGTTCCAGTAAAGGCAGAACGGTGAAAACAGGAGAGTTCAGAATCAAAGAGCCACAGAAACACAAACTGATCCGGAGACGTCGGTAACCTGCAACCTGCAACACAGCAACAGATGAAACTTTGTTTATACACACTAATGCTGACAAAATGCTGCAAAACAAACAGAAACCAACTGCAAGAGTTTGTTTAACCTCAGTCTCACGGAACATTTTAACATTTTAACCGACTTTTACATGTTTAAGGTTCTGCTGTTTCTGGTCGACTGACCGGTTGTTCCATCTGTGGTCATAAAGACAGCATCAGTGGCGCTAGGATACTACGAGTCACCATGGAAACAGGTAGATAAAACTCACCATGGCAATGTGGTTGCTGCAGCTGTTGGGTTGCTTAGGTTGCTGCTTGCTTACTATTGTTGCTGTGTGGTTGCTAAGGTTGCTGTGTGGTTGCTGTTGTTATTGTGGGGTTGCTGCGGCTGTTGTTGTATAGTTGCTGTGTGGTTGCTGAGGCTGCCGTCTGGTTGCTGTTGATGCTGAGGTTGCTATGTGGTGGCTGAGATTGCCATGTGGTTACTGTGTGGTTGAGATTGCTGTGTGGTTGCTGTTGTTGCCCCTCACCTGGAGCCTACTTGCTGTGGCTCTGATGAGGATGCTGCTGCTGCTGAGGTTGCTGTTGCCGGGGGTAGCGGTGATGCGGACTGGCCGTTGCTCCGCCTCCTCTGATGGACGGTCTGACGGACGGAGACGAGGACGGGTGCTGATGGCCAGCTCTGATTGGTTTAGCTGCGGGCAGACAGGTGACAGGTGAGTCAGGTAGACGAATCACACACTAGCAGCAAGTGATGATTGAGTTGCGTTGCTCACCGATCTGAGCGTAGTGTCCTCTCCGGGAGACGTTCTTGGAGCGCACGGCCTCCTTGATGCGGTCCACCTCCTGCTGGTAGCGTTTGCGGTCCCTGACGGCCGACTCTTTGGCGTTCCTCAGGGCGGTTTCCAGAGCTTTCACCCGCTCAGCCGTCGCCCGAAGACGCTTCTCCAGCTTCGGAAGCTCACAGCGAAGATCAGCGTTATCCCGAACCAGCTGGACAACACCAAGAATTACCGAGGTTACATGTATACGTCAAACACTGTATTTTAATAAAGGCTGATTATATATTCTGCTTTGAGAATTTCATATGTTAAGTCCTTTCTATTTTCACCCTCAAAAAAAACCCCAGAGAAGCCATTTTAAGGGTTCAATATCTCCAGAAATAAAACTAGCACATACGTGAAATTTGGTGAGAACACAGACAGAACAGCTTCCAGGAGATCCAAATGATTCAATGGCTCCACTAGAGGTCACAATTTTGAGTCATTCTGGACAATTTTGAGTTATTCTGGACATCTTTCAAGTCATTGTGGACCAGTACGCTTACTTTCCATTTTAAAGGTCCAGTAGTTAAAAACGTGTTCTCTGCTGGATCCATTCAATCATTCTGACCTGATGGAAACTCTTCTGTCTGAGTCGTCACCACGTTTCATGGCTGTTGGAGTTTTATTTCTGGAGATACTGAACTTCTAAAATGGCTTCATGGGTTGTTTTTTTTAGGGTAAGGAAACTGGGCAGGTGTGCTGGCTCACCTGTTTGTGGACTTTGCTGAGCTGCTCCAGGTTGTTTTCTAAGAAGACGATCCTCTGCCTCTGAGCCAGACTGCCGCCGGCCTCGTCGCTGTCGTTCTCTGAACTCTGTTTGTACAAACCAGAATAAACCTTAAACAAATCCTGATTAATCAAACCAGGTTCAACAGAGTCGGACTTCTTTGTGGTCATTTAGCATGTTTTGGGGTCACATTTGAGTTCTGGGGGTAATTTTGACTCCTTTAGCATTGATTTTATGTGTTTTTGTGGTATTTTAACCGCTATTTATGGTGATGTTGCATCTTCTTGTGGTCATTTTGCATTTTTTGTGGAGATTTTGTGCCTTTTTGTTGTGACTTTGTGTTTTTGGTGGTCATTTTGGCTCTTTTTGTGGAGATTTTGCATCTTTTGTATTTTTCTTTTGTAATTTTCTGAAGATCAAAACTGTATCCAGCGGTCAGATTGTGACACCTGGATGGATGTAGAACTGATCTGGTGTCAGTTTAACCACAACTCAGACGTGTTCTTCCTCCTACATGTCATGTGTTTATCTGCTGGACTGATGAAGTTCTGAGGCTCAGAAATGATGGAAAAAGTCCATTAAGGTGATCAATCTGGACCCTCCTCTGTGGACTTCAAGGACCTGGACCTCTGGAACATTCACAGTCTGAAGGTAGAACTCTGGTCAGTAGATAAAGGGTCTCTAGATACAGAACCAGATGTTCTGAGGAGGTTCTGGTTCAGATCAAACACTCACGTTCTTGACTCTGGAGCCGATGTCCTCAATGAAGAGTTTGCGGAGGTGGTTGAGCGTCTGCAGCTCTTTGGCCTGTTGGATAAAACAGAAGCTCTCAGCTGATCTCAGATCTGCACAAACAGACACGATGAACGTAGAAGAGCATCCGTACCACAGTCTCCTCCAAACCCTTCAGGTCCTCTTTGGCTTGTTCTCGCTTCTCGTTCAGGAACCTGAATCACAAAACACACCGAGTTCAGCAGTGAATCTGTTCAGTACAGATAAAAGAGCTGTTTTTATTATACTGGCATTCAGAGGAATCTGTGCAACATCAACAGGACTGATTTACATTTTGTATTTGTTTTTCTACTTTACACCAAAATGACTCAAAATCTTTCCAAAAATTACACAAATTAATCCAAAATGCTTGAAAAAAATAATCTAAAATGACTCAAAGTGTGTCCAAAATAATACAAAATGAATCAAAACTTGTCCAAAATGACACAAATCTGGTCCCAAGGTACACAAATTAGTCTAAAATGACTCTAAATTTGTCATGAAAGAATCTGTGGCAAACTGCTGATATGTGCAATATTATTATTTCCACATCCAGAGGAGTTTGGACAATCTGAACCAGTACTAATGTATATTTTAGTTTTCTACTGATGTTTCTTAAATGCTTCCCCTTCGCTGCTGTAACAATGCAAATGCCCCCACAGTTGGATGAATAAAACACGATCATGTTGCATCAAAATGTCCACGATCACTCAAAATATGTCCACAATTAAACAAATCTTGTCCAAAATTACACAAATTATTTAAAAATGTCTAAAATGACCCAAAATGTGTCCAAAATAATACAAAATCTGTACAAAATGAATCAAAACTAGTCCAAAATGACTAAAATTCTTGTCAAGAATTACACAAATTAGTCCAAAATTCTTTAAAAAATGTCTGAAATGAATCAGAGTCTCCAAAAAAGCTATGAATTTGCCCAAAATGACACCAATCTCTTAAAAACAATCACACAAATTAGTCCACAGTGAATAAAACTTGTCAAAAATTTATCTGAAGCTGAAAAATTTGTCTAAAATGACTCAAAATGTTTCCAAAATTACACAAATCTGGGACAAAAATTGCACATATTAGTTAAAAATGGCCCAAAATGTGTCACGAATTTTCCAGTCAGATTCATTTGGACAACCTGACTTGTGTATATTTTTGGTGTATTTTATTTATTATATTTCTCCCGCTGCTGCTGTAACACTTCAGATGTCTGATTCATCCCGACACCGACTCTCTGCTGCTTCCAGTCGCTCGGCTGATGAACGTGGAAGCAGCCGGTCTGATCTACGGTGAGCGCAGAGGGACACACTTACTGCAGCTTCTGGAGCTTCTGCTCTTTGTTCTGATCTTCGGCTCTCAGTTTGTCGAAGTCGGACTGCAGCTTTCTGTTCTCCAGCTGCAGAGCCTGACTCACGCTGGAACAACAACAACAACGAGGCTGAGAAACACTTCTGATAACCAACAACAACAACAACAACAAGTCAGTCTGCAGTTCATCCACAGAATCAATGATTCCAGCCTCTGACGACAACAACCGATGATGGATATCGTACTCTTTGAGCTGGTCGACGTCTCTCTGCTTCAGCTCGATCTCGTCTCGGAGGCGACTCAGCTGTTTCTGGTGAACTTCTCTGTGGTTCTCCATCTGTTCCTCCAGCGTTCTCTGCAGAACACATGAATCTGAGAAGCTGTAATGTGTTCCTGCACCATCTAAGATTCTGTTCAGAGTTCACTCGTTTGTTATTTGGGACCCAAAACTAAGTTCTGTGAAATATTTTAGCTGAATTTTAAGAATCTCGTATGTTTTCAGGCCTCGACTTTTTAGAGATAAAAACCTGTGAAGCCATTTTCAGGCTTCAACATCTCCAGAAACAAAACTCCCAAAGCTGTGAAATGTGGTGAGGACTCAGACAGAAGAGTTTCCAGAAGACCTTAATGTTTAAATGGATCCAACAGAGGACACATTTTTAATTATTGATCCATGAAATAGAAAAAAAGTGCAAAATTTGCCCTCAGAAAATGCCCCTGAAAGTTCCTGTCAGTGTCTGTCTATGGATGGATCCACGTTTCTACTAGAATCCAGTCTTTAGTCGACGTTTGAGGCTTCAACATCAGTGGAACCTGATGTGTGCCAATATGACAAGACAAGGATCCAGTTTTTAGATATTTGGACTAAATGTTGACGTGGACTCGTTAGTAGAATTTGACAATTTACCAACTTTTAACGCCTCCAACATCAGTTTGTATTGAATGGCTCCAGCAGAGGACAACATTTTAACTACTGGTTCTTTAAAAAAGGGCAAAATGATCCAATGAGGGTTGTTTGGAGGCCATAGGAAGGCTCCTCTCTAGTGATGTGGGAGGAGACAGAAGCTGTTATTCATAGGGGTCTATATGGGTTCAATACATGAGCAGTTACAAGATGCTCCATGTTGTCTTCATGTTTAATTTATACACTCACAGGAAGTGTCTGAGGCCTCTTGTTGGACAACTTTGCACTTTCTTCCATTTTCAAGATCCAATAAATAAAAACGCGTCCTCTGCTGGAGTCATTGAATCATTCTGATCTGCTGGAAACTCTTCTCACCACATTTCATGGTTGTTGGACTTTTATTCTCGGAGATATTGAACCCTTAAAATGGCTTAGTGGGTTTTTTAAAGGCCACAAAACAGATGAAATTCTGAAAATTCCACCAAACTGTCTTATTGAGCTTCATGTTTGGGACCCAAATGATAAATTAAAACTAACTCTGAGATGGTGGAGGTACGTATTTCCTGAATTCTGCCTGAACGGCAGCTACTCTGGATGTTCACCTTCATCTCCACGGCGTCCTTCAGCCGGCTCATGTGTTCCTTCTCTTTGTCCATCACGTTCAGCTCGTGCATTTGACCTGAACACACACAAACCCGTTTATTCGCATGCCCGCCAGCCAATCAGAGAGCGGCGTTTGCTGTCACCATGGCGACGCTGCCTCACCTTGAGCATGGAGCTTGGCGACCTCCTCCATCAGAGCGTCCTGACTCTCCTCCAGCCGCCTCTTCTTCTGCTCCATCTTCTGCAGGTCGCTGCTCAGCGACGCCAGCTTCGCCTGCAGCTGAAGGACCAGCGACACACAAACGTCAACACAAACTGGACTCTGCTACGTCGCGTCGGCTCGTCCGCGATCCGACGGGTGAGTCTTACCTGCGACACCAGCAGCTGGCAGCTGCCCAGCTCCTTCTCGGTGGCCTCCATCCGACAGCCGTTCTCCGCCAGGCTCACCTCCAGCTGCTTGCTGCGGTTCACCAGAGACTTCACCTCAGACTTCATCTTGCTGACGTAGAGCCGAGCTGTGGTGAACTCCTCCTCCATCACGCCGCTCACCTCCGTCATCTGCAGCCAGGACACATGGACTTTACACCGAGGTGAAATCAGACGAGCTCAGAGGGAGAAAGGTTTTTGTTTCAAAATAACATCGACTAAATGTGAGAAATCGTCCAATATGTTTATATTTAGACCTCCAGTGAATGCATCCTCTGGCTGTGAAGATTTGGTGGTCACATGTTTTATAGAATAGTTTAATGTCGTTGATCGAACCAGTTTGCAGCATTCAGAGCTTCTTTGAATCTTCAGTTCTGGTTCTGTCCGTTTGTTCTGTTTCCATCCTCAGACTGTGAACAACGATGACGGTTAATAAAACCGCTGTTGAGGAAACACTAATAAAGTATCTATCTATCTATCCATCCATCCATCCATCCATCCATCCATTCATCCATCCATCCATCTATCTATCCATCCATCCATCCATCTATCTATCCATCCATCCATCTATCCATCCATCCATCCATCCATCCATCCATGTAGAAGAAGAGTTGGAGTCTTACAGCTTTGAGCTCGGTGGTTCCGAGGACGCTGCCGATCTCGCTGAGGTCTCTGAGCAGCAGACTGAGGATTTCCGCCGAACGCTTCTTGTGATGAGCGCTGACCTCCTGCAGAGACGACAGCTCCCTCTGCGACGTCTCCAGACTCACCTGGAAACACAACGTGACCCTGAAGTCCACACAGCACGTCCCTCCATCCACGTACGCTCAGCGTGTCTTCTGCATGCGGACTCACCGTTTTGTGCGCCAGCTCTTCGTTCAGCTGCTCGTTGCAGCGGTTCTTGTTCTCCACCTCCTGGCTCTTGTGGTCGTAGTTGACGGCCAGCTCCTCCAGCGCCTGCAGCACCTCCTTCACCTCCTCTTTGGCCGAATCGCTGTCCCTCTGCAGGCGGGACAGCTCGTCCTGCAGCCGCTCGTAGTCCTGCCGGCTGGACGCCAGCAGCTGCACAGAGAAACGTCGGTTAGCCGGCGGTGAAGCGACATGAAGCTGCATGTGATGGGAGGCTGACCAGCCGAGACTCACCTCGTCCTGCTCCACCAGCTGCTCCTTCAGCTTCTCTGACGTCTGGCTGTGATGGTTGATCTCGTCGTCCTGAACAGGAAGTTCACCATTAATTGATTTAAAACACACTGGTTGTGTCTGAAACCGTCCACTCATTCCCTCCTCTGTCTATATCTACTGTACAGTGAAGGAAAGTCAAATTCTCAGACACGCTCATAATAATAACACCAAAAATGTCTTATAATCGATCGATTATTGATTAATTGACACTGTTGACGATTGGACAAAAATTGTCCTGAAACATGAATCAGCAGATTTTTTATGCTTCACCTGCTGACTCAGGTGAGCCTCACCTTGTCGTCCAGCTGCTGGTACAGGTCGGTGATGAGCGTCTCGTACTGCGTCTTCTCCTCATTGGACAGAGGGGCGGGGGGCGGAGCCAAGCTGTCAATCACCGCTGTCGCCTCGCCGCCGCTCTTCTTGTTCCTGCTCAGTTGCTCCTCCACAGGTACCGACTCACCTGGAGGACGTAAAACCAACAAACAGGATTCGTTCATTTTTGCCACGAAAAGACTCAAAATCTCCCCAAAATGGCCGAACACAGACGTAGAAACAGGACATTTCCAGGGCTGAAAAACAAACTTAAACTCTGTTAAAATTAATTTAACATCCATCAAGATGCAACAATCTAAAGACTAAATCTGATTTTTTTTCTCTATAACCAACTTTGAGAATCAATACTCCCTCATAATAATAATATAATAATATTTAATGTCCAGCGTGATAGAAACAATTTCTGATAATTCACCAGATAAAATGTCTGCTTTTTGGGTAAACTTGGGTAAATAAAATATCAGATTTAAAAAAAATCTAAAATCATTTTGCAAGTGTTAAACTATGTCTGTACTAGAGAAAGATAGAAAGGAATCGTTTACCTAGAATGCACTTTTTAGAGTTTTCTCTGGTGAATGATCAAACACAAATCAATCACAGTTGTTGGTAATGACTTGTCTTTAGGAGGTTTAGATCTCAGGTTCACAATCCAGAGAACGTAAACCTCACCGTCCTCCAGAACCACACTGTGACTCTGAGTCTTTACCTTTCCTCCAGCGTTTCAGCTCGTTCTCCAGCTTCTGGATGGTGATGTTCAGACTCCTGTTCTTCTCTTTCTCCTTCTCGTACTTCTTCTTCCACTCCTCGGCCGTCAGCTCCAGATTCACAGACACCGTGTTCTTTATGGTTTTAGCTCTGAACGACACAACACAGTCAGGACGCCACGTTAAACACCAGGTTACTGGAATACGCTTTAAACGTCTGGCCGACAAGATCTAAAGAACTGAACCAGCAGACGAGCTGCAGTCGTCCACAGTGAAAACGCTGTAACATTATTCATGTGATGGCTCTGATCTGACATCGAAATAATCCTGCGTCTCTTTGTAGTTGTAAAAAGACACAAAATGACCACAAAGAGACACAAAATGACCCCAAAGAACTTTTAGAACAGATGGTTCACCACGGTCCTCAGAACAACCAACACATGAGAGTACGGTGTTCCACAGGGCTCGATGTTGGGACCGTTTGTATTTTCTATATAAGTGCTTCTCGTTGGGGTCTTTTAGAGAAACATAACTCAGGTGTTGCGGTACCTCTGTCCAAACATGAGCGTGGATTTGGTCTCGGCCTCGTTGTAGACTGACGGCGAGCAGCAGATGATGATGGTGGTTCGACAGTTTCCTCCCAGAGAGTCCTGCAGGATCCGGGTCATCTTACTGTCTCTGTACGGAACGTGGGTTTTCTGCAGACATGACGGTGGAGTTTGATCACTCTACATTCATCAGACGTGTTAGCACGTTAGCAGAGAAGACGGGAGGACTCACCGTTCCTTCGCTCAGAGCCGCGATGACGTTCCCCAGAGCAGACAGAGATTTGTTGATGTTCTTGGCTTCATCCAACACGGAACCTTCTGCTCCTGTTTTACTGACCTGGACAACGAGAACCAACGTCAAGGAGTCGGCGAGGGGACAGAGACAGAGGACAGGTGTACAGAGGACAGGTATACAGAGGACAGGTGTACAGAGGACAGGTGTACAGAGGGCAGGTGTACAGAGACAGAGGACAGGTGTACAGAGGACAGGTGTACAGAGGACAGGTGTGTGCTGGAGCAGTGCTACCTTCTCGCTGCCCGCCAGGTCCACCAGGTAAAGTTTCCCCGACAGCTTC